CCCCGGGGGAGGCCGGAGTCCTATGCACCCGCCCTTTTACACCCTCTGCCTGGAGCACTGGAGCTCTTGAACAGCATTCTCTCCTGCAGAGCAAGGCATCAGGAACTTTACTTCTCCTGTGTGGAGGAGAGGCAGCACCGGAGGCATTTTCCTAGGTCAGGATGGGGCTTGGAAGAGGGTGGTTAGTGCTGTTCATTATCACTTGGGCACAGTATAGGGTGAGCTCCCTCTTCCTGGACCTCCATTAATAAGAAGAAATTTCCATGAATGAACAAACCCATGTATTGATGCCAAAGATCTCTTGGCTGGAAAGTGCCAGAGCTAGGATTAAATGTAGTTGCCTGGGAGCTCTCTCTGTCCCCTTTTGTTTCCTGTTTGTTCCCAAGAGCCTTACCTTGGTGTTTTGAGGCCCTTGACATACAAGGTCTTCCCTGAGTCTGGCCTTCGTAGCCACCTGGTTACTAACAGATGGACAGAGGGGCCTCTTCCATTCTCACTCCCAAAGTGACGTCAGCCCAGGGCCCAGGCTCCTGAGTTTACCCTCCACCCTGCAGATTGGTCCTTCCCGATTCCGGGCACCTGAGCTGCTATTCAGGCCAGACCTGATTGGAGAGGAGAGTGAGGGTATCCACGAGGTGCTGGTGTTTGCCATCCAGAAGTCGGACATGGACCTGCGGCGCACACTTTTCTCTAACATTGTCCTCTCAGGAGGCTCCACCTTATTCAAAGGTTGGTCTTAGCTCTCAGGGCCCATCTCCAAGGAAGTTTACAGATCTTGCTGGGCCCAGCCACCTAGAAAATTGACTTGACATTCTCCTTTCCTGCCCATTCAGGTTTTGGTGACAGACTACTGAGTGAAGTGAAGAAACTGGCTCCGAAAGATGTGAAGATCAGGGTAGGAGCATGGTGGGGGCTGGGCTGGGGCTGGGGCTGCATGGAACCGGGCTCCACTCCCTCCAAAGCTAGACAGCAACCAGCTTTCATGTTGACCTTGAGGTCTGCCAAAGGGGAGAACCCATTTTCCTTCTCCCTCCCAACAGAAGGGGCCAGTTCTGACACCCTGATGTGGCAGGGTGCTAGGCTGAGGGCCCCACGTGCAGTCTTTCGGAGAAGCAAACACAGACAGATTGGCTCCTGGTGCTCCCCTATGACTCAGTCCAGCATCTAAGTTCCTGCTGAGGGGAGCCAAATGAAAGAGTGATTACTGCCACTGGGTCTGCTTCCCACTGGCCCCCAGCAGAGCTGAATCTTGTCCCCTGATAGCCCCAGCTTCCGTGACAGCTGTAGGTACTTAGGGCTGCTGGAAATCTGCAAGTTCTCCAGATGAGTGTCAGGCTGGCCACAGTACCCCTAGAGAGGCCACAGGGTCCAGCAGGGACATAACTGAAAGCTTATTGTGTGAAATGCATTCACTGCCTTGGGCATTGGAATTGGCCATAAAGATGAGCATTGGATGGGAAAGGGGCAGGGAGGATGAAAGTCTCAGAGTCCTCTTTCCACCCACCCTTTCAGATATCTGCACCTCAGGAGAGACTGTATTCCACATGGATTGGGTGAGTAGTTCTCCTGGGAATAAGAGCAGAACAGGAAGTGAAGGCATTGTTAACCCCCTCACCACCCCATCCCTTCAAAGCAAAGCCTCGTCTGCTCCACGAATACCCACTGTCCCTCTCACAACATTCCTTGGGATTCCCTCCACTCCAGGGGCTCCATCCTCGCCTCCCTGGACACCTTTAAGAAGATGTGGGTCTCCAAGAAGGAATATGAGGAAGACGGTGCCCGATCTATCCACAGGAAAACCTTCTAATGTTGAGACATCGTCTTCACCTCTCTCTGAAGTTAACTCCACTTTAAAACTCGCTTTCTTGAGTCGGAGTGTTTGCGAGGAACTGCCTGTGTGTGTGATTGTGTGTGTGGGTGTGTGGGTACGAATGTGTGCGCATATGCGAGTGCCGTGTGGCCCCGGGATCCCAGGGCCCAGAAAGGACGATGAACTACCCATGATGGCAACGGCCTGAGGCCTGGGGTTGACCACTACCTGGCCCCTGACAGGGAAGAGCGCTGGCAGAAAGCTCCACTCCTTCGTCAGCTGGGCCTTCGTCTGGCTGTGTGGGACTATGTTTACTACCATAGGGAGACAGAGAGGGTAAATCCCGGGAGATTTGCTGCTGCCCATCCTAGGCTGGGCTAGCCCCACCCCCATCCCACCCCCAGGGTGCCCTGAGGCCCAAGGCAGCCACTGCCTCTGTTGCTCGTCCTGCTCTCAATGCCAATTAATCATGGACTGAGGACTAGGGCCGAGGTTGAGTTCTGTCTGGTTTTGTTGCAGTTTGGGTTTGGGAGGCTGGAAGAGCACTGCGGGAACTATTACTGAGACTCTGGGGTCAGGAGACAGCAGGGGGCCCTCAGCCTCACCTGGGGACCAGGACCACATTGGGCATTTGAAGAGGCAGAAGTAGTGCTACTTCTCATTGGTGGCAGAGTGAATGCTCCAGCCCCCACCCCCTGTCCAGGGGTCTCAGAAGAGTTTCGGGAGCCTGTTGGCCCCAGGCCCTGTTACTTGCTTTTCATCCATCCTTGGGCAATGCCATCTTCAGTTTTATTTATTAAAGTGTTTGTTCAGTATGGGACTGGAGAGGGAGCTCATTGCCTCCTGCCCACCAGTCACCTTGTTCACACTAATGTTTACAGAACCTCAGTTTAGCATAGCGTCCAAGGCCCTGCCACTCCCTGCTAGTGGTGAACTGACCGTATCCATAGGCCACAGGGCTATTTAGGAGCAGAGGCTACATTCAAAATCACTACCACCAGCCTCTTTCTTCCTCTTCCATTTGCTCACTGCCCTGGAATCAACAGGTTGGTTGCCGGTTGCATTTTCTGAAACAGGAAGTAGGAATCACTGTTTGGCAGAGGCCTCTAGCAAAGGAGGGGTAATGGGAATCCAGCCCCCTTAGGACTGGAGAAAGAGCTGCAATTAACCAGGTTGCCTTTTCCCACTCTAGCTGCCCCAGGGGGGCTAGGTTGTAGAGGTGACAAGGTGCCCACTGTACTGATTTGTGCCATTCTTAACTTTGGACTTGTCTGGTAAAGGAGAGAGGGGGCCGAACCAGAGTGCCAGGAGCTGACAGGCTTATCTCCCCTGATCCAGTGGGGCCAGGTGCCTACCCTAGACCAGGCTGGCCTAGCAGTGTCCAAAGGCTTTTTAGCCCAGATGGTGCAAAGCTGGGGCTAGCAGATCTTCACCCGCACCCTCACCTGTGACACCCAAGACCTGCCCGATACCAGATTCCGGGCAGCATTCTCCCCCATGCCGTCCAACGACCAAAGGCCCTGCCAGGTATGGGCCACAGCAGCAGGTGTGTGTGAAAGCGATGTGGCGACCCGTGGACTGCAGTGTGCTTAACCAGCTCACCTCCCTTCTCTTAGCCCAAGCCTGTCCCTTGCACAAACCACGTTGCCTGGTGGGGCCCAGTGTACTTAAATAAAGTCCTTCCAATAGACAAGTCAGCTGGGCCTCTTCCTCTGGTGCTGCGTGAGAAAGGGAGCTGCATGGGAAGAGAGGAGCTGCAAGTGCGCAATCTGAGGCGGTGATGGGGCCTTGTCTGTCCTCTAGAGGGCACTCTTGGACCAGCCAGACTTATCCAGCCCTTAGCTTAAGTCCCAGCCTCTCAAGTAGATACAGAGAAGATGGTGCTCATGCCAGAGCCCTGCTTCAGGTACTAAGGGTTCCAGCCCTGCACATACCATGAGTGAGACCACTTTGAATGAGGGGAGCACCTCCTGACATCCCTGAAGTCAAAATTTCCACATGGATAAGAAGCTCAGAAACTTATTAGTAAAATGGTTCCTGGGGCCCACACTCATTTTCTGACTACTCAGTTCTCCATTTTAAACCTGTATACTTGGTGGGGGTGGGGGGAGGGATTGCCAGGCATTTTGCAAATGTTAACCTATTTGATCCTCCTATCAACCCTACAAAATGGGTATTTTTATTATCCATTTTGCAGAAGAAGAAAGAGCCACAGAAAGATGATGTAATTTCCCAAAGACTTGAACCCAGGCAATATAGCCCTAGAGCCTAAATTTTTAGCCACTACACAGACCCTCAAAAACCTGGCCTTGAGCAGTAGTTCCCAAAGGGGACACGTTTGCCAATGTCTGGGGACATTTGGTTGTCACACCTAGTAGGGAGAAGCTTACTGGTGTTTAGGCAGAGGCCAAGGATGCTTCCCTAAATATTTGCAACAAAGAACTGTCCAGCTTCTAACGTCTCTAGGTTGAGAAACACTGACCTAGAGCACAGGTGTTCAATCCCAGCTGCACAGTAAAATCACAGAGCTTTCCAACACCCCAGTGCCCAAGCCATAGCCCAGAACCCATGAAATCAGAATCTTGGGGAACAGAATTCAAGACATCAGTATTTTTGAGAGCTCCCAGTGACTCCAAAGTTGAAGTCCTCGGTCTTAGAAGCAGCTGCTTTTCCTTGCTCAGAGGGAGCACCTGCTTTCCCAGCACCCAGAAGGTTCCCTGGGGGTCTCTAATTGTCTCTGCCACCATAATAGGCTCTTGGTTAACAGAGGCCTCCAGTTTCAGAGAAAATCAGAACAGGAATGTCTGGGTGGTTCAGCAGTTGAGCGTCTGCCTTCAGCTCAGGGCATGACCCCAAGGTGCCAGGATCGAGTCCCACATTGGGCTTCCTGCATGGAGCCTGCTTCTCCCTCTGCCTATGTCTCAGCCCCTGTGCGTCTGGTAGTGGTGTATAGGAAATGCACCGGGACATGAGCACAGGTCTTAAGCCACTTTGCTCCCAGATGCCCATGCAGCTACTGGTCCACACACTCTCCCTGCTACCTCTGTGAATCTGATGAGGATGTCTCCCCCAACCCCCACCAACTCATCTGTGGAAAAATGTTCTCCGAGAACTTTTCCTATTAAGTGAGGAATTCTGCTCCCCAGCCCCACCAACCCACCACTCCCACACAAAGCACAGATCTCAGGAATGGGAATAGAAATGACGGACTTTAATCAGTCTGTGATAAAATGAACCTCTTTTAGAGGTCAGGTAGGGGTGAGGAAGCCCTGCCACAGGTGGGGCATGCTACTTCAGGCACAGCTGAAGCAGAGAGGTCAAAGAAACTGCTGGAAAGGTGGAAGGAGAGAGCAGTGGGACTCACAGCTTCCCCTGAATGGGTGAAAGCGGCTTCTGAGCCCACACAGAGCACCAGCCCCAGTCAGGTAGTGGGTTAGGCCTCTGTGCCCCATAGCAACCCCATGTGACCGCAGGACAGCCCCATCCCCTCTTGGTCCTCTTCTTCCTCCTGCCCCACAGGGGGAAGCAGGTCCCTGAGCACATACAGCCTGGCCCTTGCTGAAGCTGGGCCAGACAGCCAAGCAGGAATGGAGACTTCAGTGATGCCCCTGGCTCAGCCCCAGGGGCTCCCCCACACTCTGCATCTGTCCCAGGAAGGCAGAGTAGCAGGATGTTGTGCCCCAGGAAGGCAGAGTAGCAGGATGAGGGGTTGGCAAGAGTGGCTCCTGCCCAGGGCTGTGATAGCATCCTCAGCAGGGTGACCTTGCTGTACCCGCCCCTCACACCATCTTAACATCCAGGGCCTGGGCCCGTGATAGGTTCTGGCGCTGGGCTTTGACCATGTGCAGGCGTCTCCCATGCAGTGTGAACTGGGACCAGGTGAACAGCTGCAGCAGAGCACAGGTGATGGGCACCAGCACCAGCAGGTAGAAGCAGCCCTGGCGGAGTGTCGGGGCCTGTGCTGGGGGTGGGGCCGGGGGCTCTGGCCAGGGCTGAGCACTCCCCACAGGGTTCAGTGGGGGCTGCTGGAAGAGATCATGACCTAGGATGAGAGAGCATGCAGAAAGAACAGGGTAAGCCCTGGTCTCTTCTGAAGTCCACAGCACCACATCCAATGGCACACATGCATGTCTAAACCACAACTCAATTCCTACCCCAACCTTGCTTCTCCCCTGTTCTTCCCTTCTTGGTGACTGGTACCACCATCCACCCCAGAACCTCAGTCTTCCTGGATTCTTCGGCTAACATCACCACTCAATGGCCAGTCCTTCCCCCAATTCCAAAACACATCCCACACTTTCTTCCAATCCCTTGGTACCACCTGCTCCAAGCTTCCCTGGCCTCTGCCACAGCCTCGCCACGGCCCATTCTCCATACAGGTCAAGGTGAACTTTAAAAAACAGATCAGACCATGCCACTGCCCTGCTTAAAATCCTTGCAATAGGGCACCAGGGTAGCTCACTGGTTGAGTATCTGCCTTTGGCTCAGGTGGTGATCCCGGGGTCCTGGGATTAAAAGTTCCACATCAGGCTTCCCTCTCTGTGTCTGTGTCTGCCTGTGTCTCTCCCTCTCTCTGTGTATCTTTCATGAATAAATTAAAAATTTATTCAATATAAAGTTTTGCAATCGTTTTTCTTCACATCAAGAATAAAAGCCAACACGGTGAAGCTGAGAGGCCAGGATGGGGTAAGACAGCACCAGCAGCTGTGCTGCTACAGGGAGTCATTGGTAGTCAAAGATCCCTGGTGTCTCCAACGGACCAGGTGGGCAGAGCTTAGAGTGGCCACCTTCCCTATAGTGAGGTGTGATAGGACATCTGACTTGCCACCAAGGTCTTTTTGACCAGACATATCCTAGCTAATTGATGTCCAAACACGAGAATGTGAGGCCAACCTTCTATCTGAGTTAAACTTTTGACAAGGGAACAAACTTAAAACTGATGTATCCGTCATGTAGCTAGCTGTAGAGCTTGCAACTTACTAGCAACAGCTGCCCAATGCCATGTGAAGTAACAGACTGGTTTTTGGTTTATTTTTTCCTTCAGTTTTAATGTTATGTAATGTATTTAAACCCTTATTTAAATAAAACTTGTTTTCAGAAAAAAAAAAAAAAAGAATAAAAGCCAAGCCTTGCCCTGACAGAGCCCTCTGCTTTCCCAGCCTCATCTCCTAACCACTCCTGAGACCTCAGGCCTTTGTACCTGCCCCACCTTCTGTCTGGGATTCACGGATATCTTTGTAGACCAGATTCCTGCCATCGGTCCACATCCTAGGGATCACCTCCTCAGAGAGGCCTTCCTGGATCACACGAAGTAGCTCCTCAGTCACACTGCAAATTTTACCATCTCTTTCCCCACCACCTGCTATTTTCTTGTGTGGCTGTTTATCACCAACCCACCCATCCCTCTGGAATAGGGAATGTGGAATATAAGTTCCATGAAGCCAAAAACCATGGTTACCTCCCTAAAGGGACCTGGAGCAGCCCCTAGTGGAGAAAGTATTCTATACACATTTGTTGAATGAATGAATGAATGAATGAATGAATGAATGAACAAATGAAGGAACTATCGAAAGACTGGAAGAACTGGGAGACTCAGTCCCTAAACCCACATGGGAAGAGGCAGAGGAAGGGTGGCCCAGAGACAGCCTTGGTTGGTGTGTTTCCATTCTGTCTCTGTTATGGACCCAGCTTGTCAGCTTGTGTGCCAGGTAAGCTTTGACCCCTGGAGCCTCAAGAGCCCTGTGCCAACCCCCCAGGCCCTCACCTGTGTAGAAGCACAGCAGCCAGGTGCCCAGCAGCGGGGCAAAGGTCTGGCCTGGCTTGGTCACCAGGGCCACCATGCCAAAGAGAAGAGCTGAGGCTGCCTGCTTGCGGTGGTTCAGCACCAGGTCCTCATCCACCAGATCAGTGACCACCAGAGTCAACAGCTTACAGGTGCCCTCAGTGAAGACACGGTTGCTGCCAGCGAAGAGAAAAGGGGACAAGAATGAAGGGGTGAACAGAGGTGCGGGGGTGGGAGGCAGGGGCAGCGCCTACCTGGCAATGAAGAGGCAGAGGAGGCCAGGGCGGTCAGGCCCGGCCAATAGCATGAGCAGGCTCAGGCCCAGCTTGAGCAGGAACAGCCCCCGCACCACAGTGTAGACACCCCAGCGCTGGCACAGGGGCAAGAAGTAGAGGTTGTTGAGGTGGGGAGCGACGTAGGAGATGCCTGGATGGGGGGTGGGGGCTTGTCAGGGGGCACCGCCACAGCAGCTTCCACCATTATCCACATCCTGACAATCGGAATCAGAGCTGGCATTGACAACACCTGATGTGCCAGGTCTGTGCTACGAACTTCACATCCTTTTACTGAATCCTCACCACCCTTTAGGGTAAGTACTATTATTATCCCGACTTTACAGATGGTAAATGGAGGCCCAAAGAGATTAAACAAAACACGCCCAAGGCTACACAGAGAACAGCAGTCAAGCCGCACCCCCAAGCCCCGCAGCCTTGCTGTGAACCGGCCACTGTGCTGCCTCACCTCTGGGGGGCACCATCGTCCAGATCACCAGGAGAGCAGTGGGGCACTATTCACAGCACAACAGGCTCCGGGCCCTTCCCCACAAAAACAGAGCTGGAGGCTGGGGGCACAACCCCACAGTTGGCAGTGGCGTAGGCCCTCTGCAGCCACCACCAGGCTCCTTTGGGGAGGGAGCTGCGGTAGCAGCTGGGGTGCAAGCTTCTGTCCTTGTCGCCAGCCTGGGGCACCCACTCACCCAAAAGGAAGGAGCCTGTGGAGAGGGAGATGTGGTCTGACAACAGATGCTCCAGGAAGAGGGGGAAGAAGTTGCTGTTGAAGTGGCAGTGAAAGACCTGCAACCCAAAGGGGGCAGTAAGGTGGCTGCTGGGCTGGGGGGTGGGGGTGAGGATTGGGAAGGCCGGAAGCCAACAAGGGAGTGGCTGGCAGTAGACTTTAACCCGTGTCCCTCCTTACAGAACATGCCAAAATAAAACCCAACACCAAATTCCTATTGCTTATCTAATTTTGCTAATAGGTAGAAGGAATGATAAAATTGTCAACTGAATGATTGAGTTTTTTTCTCTTTAATTGAAAACACTTTAGTAAAACATGCTTGATGATATCAATACCATCCCATCTACAGCTGAATTTGGCTAGCTTATTTATATACATGTCTTAGGCACGGCATTTAGTGTTTCAAAAAGATTCTCACAGAGTTCCCAAAGGGCACCTCATTTTCACACCCTCATTTTGCAGGTGAAGACAGACAGTCCTGCCTAAGATCACACAGGGAGTTAGGAGTTCTGACAGTACTGGAATCTGGTTTTCCTAACTACCCGACCTGTGTTCCCACTAGCAAATCACCCAGAAGTCCTCACACGAGGCCCACAACTGCTTTCCCAGCTTTTAAGGAGCCTGTTCCCTAGAGTGAGGCACATCCTAGCTGTTGAGCTGGGGAGGTACTCCCATACCTGTACCAGGTCCATGCCCACGAACCACAGGAAGTTCCGGTGGCGTGCCAGCTGCCGGAGGTACTGGCCCAAAGTGATGCTGCCTGCGTCCTGGCAGCCCGTAAGCAGCTCCTCTCCACACAGGCTACAGGGCAGAGGGGGGTCACCAATGGCCGAGGGCTGGGCCAGAGCCATCCGCCACCCAGGGCAGCCACCCATCAAACAGGGGACTCAGTGTTGAAATCCCACTCAGAAGAGTGCTGGTGGGAACCCAGAGAGCTGGGCCAGGGCCACTCACCCGCCATCCACAGCCAAGGCTGGGCACCCTGGCTCCCTGCCAGCTGCCTCAACCTGCCGCCTAAGCAGCCATGTGGCCCCCATAAAGCCCAGCCCAGAGCCGGTGGCCAGTGCCACACAGAAGGTGCGGAAGGAAGAGAAATCTTCCTTGTTCCAGAAGGCATAGGAGGCAAAGACAGAGAGGGAGCCAGCCGCACTGAAGAGGGAGCAGTAGAAGTTGAGGTGGGTACGGTCGTGGGCAGAGAGGGCCAGGTCAGCCAGCAAGGCATGATGGTGCAGGTCGATGAGCGTCAGGAAGCCATCATAGAGACACAGGCACAGCAAGAACTGCAGGCCAGCTGGGGCCCAGGGCACCCAGAATGCCAGGAACGACAGTGCCAACAGCGGCCCATGCCAGCCCAGGGCCCGCACCCGTGCCAGCACCACAGCCCTCGAGGAGAGCCTGGCACCCGACCTGCCAAGGAGAGGAGAAAAGGTGGGAGCTGCTTTTACCAACTTGGCAAGCCACAGCTCCCCCTGCCCAGGCCTCCAAGGAAGGACAGAGGCCCAGAGCACAGGACTCACGTCAGAGTGATCCCACTGAGCCCCACGTCCTCAGCCTCTGATTTAGGAAGCACAACCCACTGGAGGGTATACTCTGTCTGCTCCCTTGCCAGTCTGCCAGGGCTGATGACCAAAGGGTGGTGGGATATCTACTTCTCAGGGTTGGGGGCAGTGCTGGGCCTAAGCAGGGATGGGGTCAAGGAATCTGCCAGAAGCAACAGAGAGCATTTGCTGTACTGCTTCCTGTTCTGAGGACCTGACAAGCCAAGCTGGGGTAAACCTTGCCCCAGGTGAGCAAGGCAAGTTAGTCAAAGTCATTTCTCCCACCTGCCTGACCTTGGGAAGGGAAAGAGCCTGGTCAAAAAGTGGAAATGGTCTCCCTTTCTTTCCCCACCCCAAACAGAGGCACCCCTGAGCCATCCCCAGGACACAAACCGGGGCTGGGAGCTGAGGAACTGACGGTCACTCAGCCAGCCGAAGAGGGGGTCGTTGAGGCTGTTCCAGAGGAGAAACACCGTCTGTGGGCAGAGGGGAGAGGGGCAGGTAGGCTCCAGGCAGTCATCTCTCAGAGTTTTCCCTACCCAGCCTGCTCACCACCCCTCAAAGATGAGCCCAGCTTTCCTGCCTGCAAACCTTTGCAAAGAGGCCGTCCCTCTGCTAAAACCTACTCTACCGAGATGCCTGGGTGGCTCAGCAGTTGAGCCTCTGCCTTCAGCTCAAGGTGTGATTCCGGGTCCGGGGATCAAGTCCCGCATTGGGCTCCCTTGCAGGGAACCTGCTTCTCCCCCTGCCTATGTCACTGCCTCTCTCTGTGCGTCTCTCATGAAAAAATAAATAAAATCTTTAAAACAAAACAAAAACACTCTACCAGCCACTACCCCTATCAAACTCCCACCCATCTGGGGCAAATTTATCCAGCTGATGAATTAATATATATGAATATATGATACCACATATGTGAATATCTAGAACAGTGCCAGGCTCATAGGACAGTGGCCAGGAGAAGGAGGACTCATGGACACCTCCAGCTCCAGCTTTTCTTGCTGAATCATGGAGGGCAACCTGGCCTGCCCCATGCTCCAGACTGGGTGGCACCCAGCCCTGCAATCTGCCCAACTCCCATCCACTGCTGGCCTACCTCTCCAACCCAGAAGGCACCTTTGTTGATCTTGTACACTGAGACAAAGGTGTCCACATAGTAAAGCAGGAACACATTGTGCAGAATAGAGATGAAGAGGGCCAGGGAGCCATAGACCACAGCTGTAGGAAGGCCCAGCATCCAGGCCTGGAGCCTGCCCAGCCCCATGGCTGCCAGCTCAGTGTCAGCCCCAGGAACACTGAGGAACGCTCACTTCCAAGAGCAGTCTGGCCATCCTTGTCCCTGGGGAAGAAGGAGCCAGTTAGCTGCAAGGCTCAGAGCCAGCTCTACTGGCTCTACTGTAACCCCAGATCTCTGAATCATTTAAAAACTCATATCCAGTCGCACCTGGGTGGCTCAGTCAGTTAAGCATCTGCCTTTGTCTAGGATCATAATCTCAGGGTCCTAGAATTGAGACCCACATCAAGCACCCTGCTCAATGGAAGTCTGTTTCTCCTTTCCCTCTCCCTCCCCCCCTCATGCTCTCTCTCTAAAATGAGTAAATAAATATTTAAAACAAAACCAAAAAGCCCCTCATTTCCACTGGGAGGAAGTTTGTACGCAAAATAAAGCTGGAGAACATCAATGACATACAGTTGAAACAGTGCTGGGCTAGATACACCACAATCAAGAGTAACCCAAGACAACTGATAAAGGCGTGGGAAAAGAAGTCAGGCATCCCATGAGTCCTAAACCAGGTCATGTGCTAGGGCAGTGTGCTCAGCATCTTCTTTCATCCACACCGTCTTATCACAAGAACCTTAACAATCGGATCCCTGGGTGGCGCAGCGGTTTGGCGCCTGCCTTTGGCCCAGGGTGTGATCCTGGAGACCCCGGATCGAATCCCACGTCGGGCTCCCGGTGCATGGAGCCTGCTTCTCCCTCTGCCTATGTCTCTGCCTCTCTCTCTCTGTGTGACTATCATAAAAAAAAAAAAAAAAAAGAACCTTAACAATCTGGACGTGTCAACTGTGGGCCTGGGCACACAATGCCCCCTATAACATCAGGCAAGCTACTTAACACACGCCTCAGTTTCCTCTTCTGTAAAAGGGAAAAAGAGGGATGATCATGCCTACTCTGCAGAGGAATGTCAAGATCAAGTGAGGTAACTCTTGGAAAGTGCTCAATAAATAGATGGTGGTGGTGTCATGATTATCTTTATAAAATGCCTACAAAATTTATAGCACCATTATAGTGTTAAAAAGAGAGCAATCCCAAGCTCAGAGATGTTGAGTCATTTGCCCAATGTCATACTGCAAAAAAGCAGGGGATCTGACCCTACCCGTCTGGTTCTGAAGCCTTTCCTGCTACTTGACTTTCTAAATCAGGTTCCTATGCACTGTTGGGTGGAACAGAGAAAGTTGCTGTGATGTCAGGTTCCATAGGTATATAAGTGAGAGTCCACAACCACTCATGCACTTTGATTCTGGAAATTCCACCTCAAGGAGCCAGCCTCAAAGGAATACTACAGCGATGTTCACAGCAGCAGCAGTAATAAAGAGTAAAAAATTGGACACGGACCAAGAATGCACCAAATGGACAGGTTCAGCAGGCCGACACTCCAGAGAAGCACGTGGACCACGTTGATATGCAGAAGAGAAACCTAAGAACATGTTACATTGAGAAGAAAGAACAAAGCATGGGGTGGGTGCCTGGCTTCCAACCCGGCTGACTTGTATGCAGAGGCTGGATGGGCAGGTTGACCACAAGAGGGGAGGAAATAAAAGTCAGATTTTTATTAGAACGGGCCTTCTCAAACTGGAACGTGCTTTCCAGTCACACGGGCACTTCATCAGAATGCAGATTTTGACTCAGGAGATCTGGGGAGGAATCAGATTCTGCAGGTAGTAGGCTGCGGGGTGGTGACCACAGGACCGTGACCACAGTTTTGGTGGCAGGGGGCAGGCAGTGAGGCTTGACTTGACTTAGGCCTGACTCCTTTTTTAGATTCAAAGCTGCCATTCTCTTTTCAGAAAAGTAACCCTTTGTGTGCTTGGCTGATCCCCAGACGGAAGCTATGAGGATTTCCCTCTCTCAAAATCCCTGCTGTGAGTTAAATCCTGTCCCCCACGCCCTATAACCCCCTCTCACACACACACAAACACACACAAAAAAAGGCATGTTCGAGCTCTAACCCCCAGTACCCAAGTGTGACCTTATCTGGAAACAGGATCTGTGTGGATGTAACCAAGTTAAGACGAGATCACAGTGAATTCAGGTGACCCCTTACAGGGAAAGGGAAATTTTTTTTTAATTTTTTTTAATTTATTTATGATAGTCACACACAGAGAGAGAGAGAGGCAGAGACACAGACAGAGGGAGAAGCAGGTCCCATGCACCAGGAGCCCGACATGGGACTCGATCCCGGGTTTCCAGGACCACGCCCTGGGCCAAAGGCAGGCGCCAAACCACTGCGCCACCCAGGGATCCCAGGGAGAGGGAAATTTAGAGAAAGACACACACACAAGAAAGACAGACAGCTTGGGACACCTGGGCTCAGCAGTTGAGTGTCTACATTAAGCTCAGGGTGTGATCCTAGAGTCCTGGGATTGAGTCCCGCCTAGGGTTCTCTCCCTGTGTCTCTGCCTCTGTGTGTCTCTCATGAATAAATAAATAAAAATCAAGAAAGAAAAGAAAAGAAAAGAAAGGAAAAGAGGAAGGAAGGAAGGAAGGAAGGAAGGAAGGAAGGAAGGAAGGAAGGAAGGAAGGAAGGAAGGAAGGGAAAAAAGACAGATAGCTGTGTGTGGACAAAGGCAGAAAGTTTAAGGATGCAGCTAAAAGCCAAGGACTGACTGCCAAGGACCACAGGCAACCACCAGAAGCGAGAAGGAAGCAAGAAATGAGTCTTCCCTAGAGCCTCTGGAGGGAACATGACCAATCAGCGTTTTTTCAGACCGTGAGAGAATAAATTTTGGTTGTTTTCAGCCACCCAGTTTGTGGTCATCTGTTCCAGTAGCCCCAGGAGCCTTACACATACCCCCAGGGGCTGTTCCTCTTTGAGTCCTCGTGACTCAAGCCTGCCCATGGTGTGGTCTACATGTTGGAGCATACATGCATGCACGCATGCACACACACAGAGCTGAAACTTTAGCCTCCCATCATGGTCAGGCCCTGGAGAGCCAACTTCAACCCTAACCCAACAGTAGTGACCCCCCAGGACCTGTCCTTCCCCCATGACCCCCTATGGCTCCCACTCTGTGCCCAGGGGCCTCTGTCCAGCCTGACCTCCCCTGGGTCTTCAAGTCACTCTCTCCTCTGGCCAGGCTTTTGTTCTCGGCAGCATTCCTCCCAGAAGTGGCCTCCCATCTCCCCATCTTTCAGGAGCCGGCACCGTGACCAGATTTTCTCCAGCCCCTCACTGATGCCTCCTGCCACTGTACCACACTCTCCTGCCTGCCCCCATAACATCCCAACTGTGGAGTTTCCCAGGGCAGGGCCTGCATCTTTGCCCTTCATCCTTGGAGAGAGTGGGCTGGATGAAACTATTCTCTGGTAGAAAAATAGGCCCTGAGGGGGGAATAGTGAGGGAATCCCAGTGGGGTCTCTCAGGCTCATTGAGAAATGAGGGCAATTCACTCAAGAGATCCAACTGGTGCCCGCCTATGCCCAGTGTTGGGGAATGAAGAAGTTGAAGCAGCCAGAACAACCTGGAAGCAGCTGGTAAGTCTGTGAGAATCTTTCCCGGGCTCCAGTGATCCTACCTTGCCCCAAAGCAGGAGGATGGACAGATAGCCTCCCCCTGGAGCCCTTCAGCCCCCAAATGAACATTTGGTGGGAAATGCTTTTTCCGCCCACAGCTTTATTGAGGTACAAGTGACACATAATGATCTGTACATATTAAAAGTGTACAGCCTGATTAGCTTTAACATATATATACACCTGTGAAACTGTCATCACAGTTGAGATCATGAACATATCCATCATCCTAAAAGTTTCCCTGCCACTTTCTAAGAACATAGAAGGAAAACACAATTGAGGGTCTCCTAAGTCCTGACTCTACCAGTTACTACGTGTGTGACCTGGAGCAATTTGCTTAACTTCTCTATTCCTGTCTCTTGATCTGCAATATGCCATCAACCTTCTGAAGACTATTGTTAGCAGTCAAGGAAAAAATACTCTAAAGCACTTAAGTGCAGTGGACACTCAAACTTCAGTGATTATTGCTATTGAGCCTCTCAGACCTCCTGAAGCCACCACACAAGGACGGGGTGAGTATTAATCTAAAGGTGCTTTGGGGATGTAAAGCACAATGTCTACTTCCATTGCTTATCCTTAACCCAGCTCACTTTCTCGGGTTCCCCAAGGGCTTTCAGAATCACCACCACCAACATCAACACCACCCCGCCACACACACACACACACACCCCTGCTACCATCTCACTTCCAAAGCCTTTGTCCAAAGGGAGTGAAGCCTCCCAGCCCCCTACCCAGATATCTAGTGACCTACCCTGGTTGCTGGAGTTGAACCCTGCAGGCAAGCCCCTGGCCTTGCCACCAGCTGGCTCCCTGCACTAGTGCTGGAGTAATGGTAGAAAACCTCAGAGGAAAAAAAAAAAGAAAAAGAAAACCTCAGAGGATTGTGACATGAGAAAGGCATGACTTTTGCCATCAGGAGAGGCTGAGTTTAAATCCTAACTGTGTTTCCTACTAAAAACGCAACCTCGAGTGACTTACCCTATCTGAGCCTTGGTGTCCACACCTGTAGAACGGGAATAATAATGCCTATCCTTCAAAGGAATGTAGGGACGATGAAAGGAATGTCCAGATGCCCCCAGCATTGTTACATGGAAGATGTTCAGAAACTGGCTTTTTCTTGGGCTCACTCATAAAAGATTGGAGTAGGAGCAAGGGAATATCCTGGTAATCTGGCTCCTTCCCATGGTAAGGGAATTTGAGAGAAAAGATATGATATGTCAGGAGAGGAGAGTCTACAAATAGCAGGAACACATGCACAGTTCAAGAGTGCCAGATACAAGCCCCAGCCACAGGCCAGAGTTGGAGTCAGGGCAACCTGTCCAGGTAAGCCTCGGCCCAGGAGAGAGCTGGCGGAGGAGTATGCAGGGCCACTGCAGCCAGTTTCTCTTCCAGATTCCACTCCTCCCTCAAGAAACACCTTCCCCTTCTTATCCTCCCCACCCTCAATACTTCCCAGCAGAGAACAACAGCCCTGCCTCTCCAGGGGAGGAATAGCTTGGAACCCACACCAACCTCATTGCATAAGCCCGGTGAAATATCCTGTAACCCAGCCAATGCCACCCCCAGCTTGGCACCTGGCAAGAGCATCTGTTGGAGGTCCCCAGAGCCCACTCCACCCTCGTGCTGGGATGGTCCCAGTTATGTGGCTTTGAGCCAGCATTTCTCTCTCCCTGGGCCTTGGTCTCATCTATAAAGTGGGGATGATGCCAATTTTAGTATATGTGCCTGCCGAAGCGAGCACTGGGGATGATGCCAACCTCTTGAATTGCTGCAGGGCTGGAACACAAAAGGAATATAAAGCACCAAGCACAGTGCCTGGCACATAGGAGATCTTCAACAAACAGTAGCTACTGTTATTCTTTTTCATGTCTCTGAAGTGTGGTTTCATGATCTTTAAAAGGTTTCATTCACTCAGTGTCCCCTTCTGTCCAATCCATGACTTAAGTAGTCTCTCCAGCACCCAACACTGATGCCTCTTGCTGCCTGGTATATCCTGCCATCCCTCAAATTTTCTTTTAAATGCCACCTCCACACTTTTGTTCATGCTGTTCCTTCCACTTAAAATACCCTAGATGTAACTACATATCATTTCTCAGGCATCTGGGTATGTCTGGCTTTCACATCTATCATTAAGAATCCTTACAACTCTTGTTACTATTTCCATCTCATTTTATAAACGAAGAAACCAATGCTCTGCTCTGGAGGTTAAATAAATCAAAAAGCTATTAGGTACTGGAGCAAAGATTCAAAACCAGCGTCTTTGACTAAAAAAAATCCCAGCATTTCTCATGTCACTATGCTCAACCCCACCACCATCTAATCAAATCCTGCTGATTCAAGGCCCAGTTCAGTGGCACAAGCCTTCCCAAGTAAACCTAGTCAGGTATTCTTTCCCCTTCCTCCTTTATCAGGACCCAGATGCCTCCCATACCCTCCACCAGCACCCAAGCTCCTTAAGAGCAGAGCCAGGTCAGACCCCAGTTTTCTACTCCCTGCTTCCACCAGGCTCCTTCACACAGTAGGTGCTCAGTGAATGCCTGCTGAGTCAATTTGCCCCTAAAAGGCCAATTTGGGCATCCACAGAACTAGGGAAGAGCAGCAGCCCTAAATCCCGCCGCCACCCCCAAATCCCACTATGCACCTCCGTTCACCTTGGCTGTGGGAGTCAGAAAGAGGCAACCAGGAGAACCCTGATGTGCCCTGAATAAAACATGTACTGCAAGGCAACAGGTGCACAAAGGGGAAGAGTGATAACAAAAAGCAACAATAAAAAAAAAAAAGCAACATTTATTAAGCTTGTACCATGTGCCAAGGAAAGCGAATACAAGAGAGCTATAGAAAGAGAGCTCAGGGCAAGGAGGTAGAAAGACAGCAGATCAGGGGGCTCCATAAATCACACACAAGAGTCTACCCTGAGGACAATGGGATGGGGGGGGGCACTGCGGGTTAGTGAGGTGACAGAGCCACATCAGTTTGGAAGGAATCCCCCCACATGAAAACTCACTCCTCTCGACCCATCGGGCTTCTGGAAGATAAAGAACTAGAATGGATGGAAACAGTAGCATCTCCCTGATTTGTGAACCAATCTATAGTGGTAGGGGGCTGGTGGGTTTGGTGGAGGAAACCAAGAACGCGGGATGGGGATCCTAGAATGAGGGGCATCAGGAGGGTGGGTGCCGATTCTCTCCAAAAGGATTAGTGACTGTGTGAAGCAGTTTAATGCAGAGGGAAAAGGCTGCTAATAAGCATAATTTGGAGTTGGGAACCCTGAGTCAATCTGAACTTTATCACTACTAACTAGCTACCTGAGTTTGTTCCTATATCTGTGAAGCAGGAGAAAACAATTCCAGTCTCTACCTGTCCTCAGAAGCATCCAATGAAATGAAGAGGTGTAACACCCTGCACGAACTATTAGGTGTGTCCTCTTCTCAACAAGCAGAGGACCTCTGAATTGTCCGCTGCCTTTCCTGTTTCACACCTGCTTTGTCTCCCTGCCCATTGCAGGGTCCAGCCCTGGCAGGAGGCCTCCCCTGGCTTGGGGGCAGTGGGACACCCTCCACTCCAAATAGTAATAGGCTTATCCTCCTCCTCACGCTGGAAATGAACTTTCACCTTCCTGGGGGAGGGACCTTCCCCCTCTCCCTCCCCCACAGGTCACTACTACAGCAGCACTGGAGGATCAGCGACCTCACCTTAGCACCACCCGCCCCTCCCAAGCCACTGAGGAGTCTGGGGCTAAACCACGAGCTCTTTACTCAATAGCTGGCGCTGAAACATGTGGCTCTTCGGCCAGTCTGCACATTAAAATCACCTGAGGGGCTGCTCCGTATCGAGGCCCAGGCCTCACTCCTGACCAATTTAATCGAAATTGTCAAGGATGGGTCCCGACGTCGTGTTCTTTCAAAGCTCCCCAAGCGGTTCTACTGTGCCACCAGGGTTAAGGGCCATTATATTAATGAAATGGATCCCAGCCTGATGCATCCCGCGACCCCAAGCCCCGAAGGAGCCCTTCGGCCAAGGATTCCACCCTCACCCCTTGAGCCCAAACTGCTCCCACCCTGACCCAAGGACTCTCCCATCCCACAACCTGATCATCTCTGGGACACCACCACCCCCCCAGCCCCCCGCGCAGACAGCCTCCAGGACTCGCAAAGCAGACAGCGTTCCTGTCCCCCGCGGGCCCGTCCTTTGTGTCGGATTGGCCCCCAGTCCGGCCCGCTCCTGCCCCCGCGCCCGGGCCTCCGGCCAGCCCCTCACCGCAATCGTGGCAGGAGAGAAGCCTAATCCTGCGGCCGCCTGGAACCAGGTGCGAGGCAGTGCGCCTGCGCGCGTCCCGCCAGCGGCTTCCCCGGCCGCTCCCTCCTCCCCCAGCCGGCGATTGGCTCCGCGCGGCTCCCGGGACCGCGCCCCGGCAGGTGCCCGCGCCCGAGGCTGCCGCCGCCATGTTTGTCACGGGCTCATGCCCTTAAGGACGGAAAAGAAAACGTGGTCACTGGCAAGAAGAGAGCAGTGGCCTGGATTCCTGACGGTTCACCCTCTCTCTTTCACCTCTATAGTTGCTTAAAGACAATTTCAGTTCAAATCAATAAGGGTTTTCTGAGCGCTCCCCTCCCTCTCCCCGTCCTTCCTTAGTGTTAATTCCCAGGATGAACAGAGCACAGCACCTTCTTAAGAGTCTTGTGGTCTGACTAGATGCACAACTAGGCAGATGAGGAGATGACAGTGGCACAACGTGAGACTCCCTGAGGCTGAATGGTGAGCCCCTGCAGAGTGGACATCCCCAGCTTAAGGTGTGGGCACCAGCGCTCAGGCACCAGGCCTCCAGAGAGCAACCATGAAGCCCAACCTCCTCAAATTAAAAAAAGTAATAATAAAATCTAAGGAGTATTGAGCTCTCACTATGTGCCCCGTAACGTGTTAAGCACTCTGCATGCATTGTCTTGTTGAGTCTTCACATCATCCTGGGAGGTAGGTGCCATTTTACAGATGAGCCAATAGGCTCAGAGAGATTCAGAGACTTTCCTACAAGCAAGAGGCCCAGACCAGCTGGACCCAGCTCTCTTGACTCTCAGAACAGCAGTCTTTCCTTTTCCTACCCCTGCCCAGGCCCTCAAAGTCAAGTTTTCTTTTGCTCAGTTCAGTCTGGTGAGGATGTCCCATGTCTTTTCCCAATAGGCCTGTAAACCTGGTTAGGTTTCCAGGCAATCAAAGAGCAGACACTTCAGACCTACTGTTTTCCTGCCCTGGGATATGAGGCAGTGAGCGTGGGTTTTAGGTTTTAGGGGAACCTGGGGCCCAATCCCCTAACTTCACTTCTTTGTTAAAGGACTCTCCTTTTGTGAACCTCTGTTTTTTTTTTTTTTTTTTTTTAATTTTTATTTATTTATGATAGTCACACACAGAGAGAGAGAGAGGCAGAGACACAGGCAGAGACAGAAGCAGGCTCCATGCACCGGGAGCCCGACGTGGGATTCGATCCCGGGTCTCCAGGATCGCGCCCTGGGCCAAAGGCAGGCGCTAAACCGCTGCGCCACCCAGGGATCCCTGTGAACCTCTGTTTTATGCCTTAGAGGGATTTTGTAGGTGTTAACTGAAAAATAAGAGTATTGCAAGTTTTTGGCTATTATGCTTTTGTTGATGGTTGTCAACAGGAAAATCATCCTCTGCCTCCTGCCTGACAACCTGGAAAAGGGCCCACTCACAGCAAATGGTCCAACACTAGAGCCCCGGTATGCAGGGGTTAGGGGTTAGAGTCTGTCCAGCCAGTTCCTGTGGAGCCCCAGCAATCCCGTGATCTTTGCTCCCAGCATCCACCTCTCACCAATCTCATTTCTCTCCTCCACAATCCTGCCTCTTCAGACCCTCTTCTTACCTCCTAGGTACCCCCTAAGCCACATATATCATCTCTCTTCTAAACTTCAAGCAATTTCTGGAAATCGCCCCCCATCCCAACCCCTTGCTCCCATCTATGTTTTCCTGGCTGAGAATACAGGGCTGGAAAACCAGCATTCAGCATGTGTCTGGCACACTAGGGCCTCCATAAATTGACTAAAGGAGTTTCCTTGCCTTTCTATCTCTGACCAGCATGTGCCTTTGTTGCAAAGCAACCCTAACTCTACTTTGGCCTCCAGTCCTGTGGGAGATCAGGGGGACGGAAAGGGCTGTGAAAGGGCCAGAACTGAATGTGACCCACTGGAAAAACTTCAGCCTCTATGTTACTTTGTGTCCCATGGTTATACTGAAGCTCCTCATCCTTCTGATTTTTTTCTTTTTTTAAAGTTTTTATTTATTTATTTATTTATTTGACAGAGAGGGAGATAGTACAAGAAAACAAAAACACTGGGAGCGGCAGAGGGAGAGGGAGAAGCAGGCTCCACACTGAGCAGGGAGTCTAACCGGGGCTCAATGCCAGGACTCCAGGATCATGACCTGAGCCAAAGGCAGACTCTCAACCAACTAAGCCACCCAGCATCCCCCTCATCTCTTTGATTTTTTTTTAAGATTTTATTTATTTATTCATGAGAGACAGAGACATAGGCAGAAGGACAAGCAGGCTCCCTGCGGGGAACCTGATACAAAACTGGATCCCAGGACCCTGGGATCACCACCTGAGCCAAAGGTGAATGCTCAACCACTAAGCCACCCAGGTGCCTGCTCATCCCTCTGATTTTATAGACAATGTGACGTAACCAGTTACCCTCTTGTGTCAGCACCAGGGCTGGGTCTTGTGATTATCTCCAATTTCCCTTCCTGGTTGCCAATAACAGAGCTAACTGGGAAGGGATATAGGATTCAACTAGGGGATCCTATCATCTGCCTAACTTCTTGAGTCATATCAGAGTCCTTGGATTGTGAAACAAATAGATACATAAATAATTTCTCTCTTTGAAATTCTCTTCTCCTTTGGCATCTGACCTCTCTGATCTGGGTTCCATCATATTCTCCTCTTATCTAACAATTCCTCCTCAGTCCCCTCACTGGGACGCTTTTTTCCCCAGGGCTTTCTAAACATGGAGGGCAAGTCCCCCAAGTTTCCATTTTCAAAACATTTTTTTAAAGATTTTATTTATTTATTTGATGGAGAGAGAGTGAGAGAACACAAGCAGAGGCTGAGGGGAGCTGCAGAGGAAGAAGCAGACTCTCTGCTGAGCAGGGAGCACAATGCAGGACTTGATCCCAGGACTCCAAGATCATGACCTGAACCAAAGGCAGACGCTTAACAAACTGAGCCACCCAGGCACCCCAAAATTCTTTTCAATTATTCACTCAGACTTACCAGGCCATAGGCTATCTGGGGTAAAAGGGACTTCAAAAACAAGATTCCCTGCCCTCACAAGGTGTAAGTGGAGGGCAGCCCAGGTGGCTCAAAGGTTTAGTGCCACCTTCAGCCCAGCCTTCAGCCCAGGGCGTGATCCTGGAGTCCAGGGATTGAGTCCCGTGTCAGACTCCCTGCATGGAGCCCGCTTCTCCCTCTGCCTCTCTCTCTCTCTCTCTCTCATGAATAAATAAATAAATTTTTTTTAAAAAAAGGTGTAAGTGGAACCCAACAAATTGGCAGCCATGATGACACAATGAGGTGTGATCCAGGTAGCAGCTGTTCTAGTCCTTCACCTACTACTTTTCCCTTCATGACTACCCCACCTGAATATAAAATTGCCATCTCCAGCCTGAATATAAAATTGCCTGCCCAACAGCTCCCCAAATGAACCATCTGACTTCACCATGTCCTCAACTTCAAATTGCCCATGAGGGGTTTTTATTCTCCAGGCTTGCTTTGACTACCACGCAGGCAACAAAGCCAAAAACATGTGCCTCCACCTCTATTCAACCCTCTCCACCCAGGCAGTTATACGGGGTCAAATCTAGATGAATCTGCTCCCATCTCTTTTCGGTCCCTTGCTCCTGTTTTGGTTGTCAATTTTCCTGGGTTAGTGTGAGAACATCTTCCAAGATTAGCTTCCAGCCTCTCACCAATCTATCCTCTATTTTGCCAATAAGAGAATCTCTAATCATGGAGTTCACTGATCAAAAATTTCACAGGTTGCTGCATTTTGGAAAATTTTCCTAAAATGCTAGGAAAAACACTCAAGGTGTATTGGTGATGCAAACAACAGAAGACTCCACTCCACAGTGTAATAACCTAAACTTTCAATTTTCTAAGGACTCAGGTGATGGTGCTTTGTAATTAAAAATAAAAGTCTAGAGACACCTGGGTGGCTCAGTGGTTGAGCGTCTGCCTTTGGCTCAGGGTGCGATCCCAGAGTCCGGGATTGAGTCCTGCATCGGGCTCCTTGCATGGAGCCTGCTTCTCCCTCTGCCTGTATCTCTGCCTCTGTGTGTGTGTGTGTGTGTGTGTGTGTGTGTGTGTGTCTCATGAATAAATAAAATCTTAAAAAATATAAAAGTCTATTTCCTTATGTCTTCTGTAGTTAAATTTATATAAAGTAAACACAACTGATGTGTGAAATGAAAAAAAAAAAAGACCCATTCAAACCAGATTAAGCAAGAAAGGAATTTATTGGGGGAATGGGTGGGAGGAGGAGGCATTGGATGAAGGTAGTCGAAAGGTAAAGTTCTAGGAATACTAAGTACATAATGTATAACTTGATGATTATAGTTAACACTGCTGTATGCTGCATGGTATATCTGAAAGCTGTTAGGAAAGTAGATCCTAAGAGTTATATGGGAAAATTTTTTTTATCTATAAGATTATGGAAATTAACGAAATATGGTAATCACTTCACAATATTCATAAGTCAAATCATTTGCTGTATACCATAAACCTATACAGTGGGGTATGTCAATTATATCTCAATAAAACTGGAGGGGAAAAAAAGAATTTATTGGCTTATGTCACTTTGAAGTCCAGGGTTCAAATGAGGTCATTGGGACTTCTCTTTCTGTCCCTTGGTTTCACTTCTTTTGTGGCTCCACGTTCAAACAGGCTTTCACCTCTCCACCCAGACTGCATTTTTTCAGATTTCTGTCCAGGGGAAAGAAAGCAATTCCTTCTATCCCAAAAGAACAAAGTCCTGGACCTAGCTCCCACTGACCAACTGAGTCACCTGTCAGAGGAATGGCAGTGCAATTGATCTAGCCATAAATCACCCCTAACTTTAAGGATAGACTAGAGCCAACTCCCCCAGAACGACTTTGAGTAGATAAGGTATGGGACCCCAAAATTCTAGAAGCTGTTACTAGAGTCAAGATGAATGTTGAGAAACTCATAGTTTGGTCTTTATTTTTCCAATTTACCTGAACCACCCCCAGACTAGCAGAGGTCTTCAGCAAGCATACAGGGACCGATTATTAAAATACAGGTTTCTCACTCTCCCAGCCTCCAACTTGAGCTTGGTCTCACATGCTCCCCACCTCCCACCCAGGTGAGACTAGATCCTCATGTGGTAGCAGGTGGAGGAAAGGGCCAGTCCCATGGGGCCCAGATTGAGCTCCAGGCTAGGGTGAGGTCAGTTTATAGGAAGTCTTGGACATTCCTCAAGTGCTGGGATTTGGAGAGGGCAAAGTTATAAATAGGAATGAGGGGATGCCTGGGTGGCTCAGCGGTTGGGCATCTGCCTTTGGCTTGGGGCATGATCCCGCGGTACTGGGATTGAGTCCTACATTGGGCTCCCTGCATGGAGCCTGCTTCTCCCTCTGCCTATGTCTCTGCCTCTCTGTGTTTCTCATGAATAAATAAAATCTTAAAAAAATAGGATTGGGGAGGTAAAATTAATTTCCTATCGGCACTGTAACAAATTACCAAAAACTTAGTGGCTTAAAACAATACAAAGTTATTATCTCACAGTTCTGGAGGTTAGAAGTCTGCCTCATTAATGAAAATCAAGATATTGAGAAGAATTGTGTTCCTTTCTGGAGGCTCTAGGGAAGAATCCATTTCCTTGCCTTTTTCAGCTTCCAAAGGCTGCCTGCATTCCTTAGCTCATGACCCCCTTCTGTCTTTAAAACTAGCATCATCTGGTTCACTCTCACATAACATCGCTGACTCTCCTGCCTTCTTCCCCACATTTAAGGACCCCTGTGATTACAATGGGTCTAGCTGGATAATCCGGAATAATTTCATTTTATTTTTTAAATATTTTATTTTAAAAAATATATAAAATATTTTATTCATTTTTCATGAGACACAGAGAGAGAGAGGCAGAGACACAGGCAGAGGGAGAAGCAGGCTCCATGCAGGGAGCCCGATGTGGGATTCGATCCCAGGACTCCAGGATTACACCCTGGGCCAAAGCAGGCCACTCAACCGCTGAGCCACCCAGGGACCCCCCAGGATAAGTTCATTTTAAGGATAGCTAATTCACAACCTTAATTCCCCTTGCCAAGTAACATAAGGTATTCATAGGTTTGCAGGGATTAGGTTGTAGACATCTTAGTGGTGGAGGCCTGTCCCAACAAAGTCCTGGGACCAGTTTTTTTTTATTTTTTTTATTTCTTTATTTATTCATGAGAGACAGAGAGAGAGAAGGAGATACACAAGCAGAGAGAATAGCAGGCTCCACGCAGGGAGCCTGATGTGGGATTCGATCCAGGGACTCCAGGATCACGCCCTGGGCCGAAGGCAGATGTTCGACCCCTGAGCCACCCCGGCGTCCCAAATTTCTAAAGTGCACAGAGGATGAGGCTTCCTTCTTGGAGCTCTGGGGCAGGGAGTGGAGTGTTAAGTAGATACCCTAGACCAGTTCCAGTAGCCATCTCCACCAGGCCAATGACTCAGGTTAAGACTTGGGAGAGGAGCTCAGTCAGGAATATAAAAGTGTGACATCATCAAGGTGAGTGTGGAACTTCCCAGAGGGTAGCCGGACTTTGAGGGATGCTGAAAGGAGAACCTGTGGGAGTTACTAGTGATGCAGCTTGAATCAAGTGAAAAGGAAGGAATGTATGATGGCCTGGAAGCCAAGCAGTTAGGAGAGAGTATCAGGTTTTTGTTGTTTTTTTTTTAAGATTTTATTTATTGGGTAGCCCTGGTGGCACAGCGGTTTAGTGCCGCCTGCAGCCCGGGGTGTGATCCTGGAGACCCGGGATCGAGTCCCACATCAGGCTTCCTGCATGGAGCCTGCTTCTCCCTCTGCCTGTGTCTCTGTCCCTCTCTCTCGCTCTCTCTGAATGAACAAATAAATAAATCTTAAAAAAAAAAAAAGAACATTAAAAAAAGATTTTATTTATTCTTTTCTAAAGATTTATTTATTTATTCATGACACACACACACACACACACACACACACAGAGACATAGGCAGAGGGAGAAGCAGGCTCCATGCAGGGAGCCTGATGCAGAACTCGATCCTGGGACTCCAGGATCACGCCCTGGGCTGAAGGCAGGCGCTAAACCACTGAGCCATCCAGGCGTCCTGAGCGGGTATCAGTTTTAAGCATCCAGCAACTATTACTCACCCCAATGGGAAGGAGAGAGGTGGAAGATTGTAGCTTGCAGCCAGAGGGGACTGAAGCTTAGCCAGGGCTCCACACCTGGATGAAGCAATCTATCTGGCTTCACCCAAGTAGCTTCTGGGCTTTCACCTTAGTTGGACTGAGTTCAAATCCCACTGTGCTACCTAGACTGTGTAAACCTAGGAAAGTGGCCTAACTTCTCTGAGCCTCTGGTTCCTTATTGATTAAATGAAAATATTATCGTGTTCTTCATATGGCTATTAAGAATTAGTTCTTATGTAACACTCTATAGGATGGATTGGCTATAAGGCTAATTACCAATCATGAGTCTTGAGACAGACACAGGGCTGAATTTTGCTCTTACCATAACTAGATGTGTATGTTTGAGCAAAATACTTAACCTACATAAGCCTACAATACTGGGAGTGTTTCCTAGTCATAGAATACACTTAGCATGTACCAAATCTGAGGCAAACAGCTTCCTCCTATGTAAAGTGGAAAAAATACTAGTACCTGCTTTCTAGGGTTTATACAAACTTAAAGTTAGATGCTCATAAGTAACTTGATTCAGTGCCTAATGTAGGAGCTTCACTCAAATATTAGAACATTTGGAAGGGCTGGGAGGATGGGGTGCCGGGAACAGGTGGCTAATTGGAAAGGGCACCAAGATATCCTCAGTAAAGTAGTGGTGAGGGCATCCCTAAGCACAGGCCTCACCATTTGGGGCAGGTGGGTATGACCAGAAGTGTCACCAAGCGTAGACACAGACTAGCTGGCTTCTGGCCAGCAAAATGTGTTTCCCTTTGCCTGGAAACCGGGAGGAGTGGCTGAGGCACGGCATGGAGGAGAGCGGTGCCACTAAAAAGTGGTGAGGAGTCTGCTCTGGACCTCTCTGGCTCCCCCAAATGCTGGGGACCAGCTCCCCTGGGCTGAAGGAGACGACTGGGGAACCACCTGGGAAGAACACTTCACCGCTAAGGGCTTGAACAGGCCTTGGGTCCTTACTGCCTACTGAGAGCCTGGGGTTCGGCCCAGCCCTGGGACAAGAGGTGAGATGGAAAGTGAAAGCCTTAGGAAGAGTTCCCCAAAACCATCAGGCGCTGTGCATGGGCTCCTGCTGTGAACCAGAACTGTGGGTTACAAGGCCCCAGGGATGGGTAGTGGAGGTAGAACAAAGGGTGTCCCCACACACTCCCACTGCAGGTGTGGACCAGCTCCCAGCATGTACTCCTACAGCAGCCTGGCGCCCGGGGAAGGCATCTGGCCTCCCCTGCAGCCCCTCCCCTATGCCTACCTGACTGGCCCTCTGCTGCTGCCCCCCATCCACGCTCACAGCTTCTGCAGCCGGCCCCCCGGCCTGATCGCAGGTGAGTGGCCGGCTCCGCGGGAATACCACTGCTTCCACGGCCCAGGCGCGCCCCTGGCGGCCGCGCCGCCCTCGTGGGCCTTCCCGCAGGCCTACGCCGCGGCCCTGCGCCCGCGTTTCCCCGCTCCAGGCTGCCTGGGGCCATCGCTACGAGGGACCGCGGCGGAGGGGAGCGCGGCTGCCCGGCGCGAGGCCCCGTGGCCGGAGGGCGCCAGCCAGCAGGCCGAGCTGCGCTGGGGCCGCGTGGAGCGCGCGCTGGACCCGCGCCTCGAGCTGCCGGACCTAGTGCGCCGGGAGCTGCGGCGCGTGTACGGCACGTACCCGCGCACCGACGTGCGCGTCACCTACCGCGGCGGGCAGTTCCTGCTTCAGGCCGCGCCGCGCGTCCGCGAGCACGAGTACCGTGTGCGGAGGCGCGTGCTGCGGCCGCCCGCCAGCAGCGACAGCGGCGACAGCAGCCCGGCCGCGGAAGCGGCGGAGTGTGGCCGCCGGAGGGAGAGGAAAGGCCCGAGCTGAGGACGCCGCAGGGCCCGGCGGCCGGCCCCGTGAGCACGCGCGCGCCTCTCCCCTGCGCCCGCCGCCCCCGGCCCGCTAGTGGGGAGACCTCCGCGGCGCGCCGGCGCCGGTGCACCTGTCTGTCACCTCGCTTTTTGCTTTCGTTTTTTACCGAGCCTACTCGCCGCCCACCTGCTGCACTTCCCTAATTTCCCTCGCGTTTTTGCTGGATAGCGGGGGAAGGGCCAGAAGAGATCCAGAACATCTCGGGGCGGGTGTCCTGTTTCTCTTCCCTTCCACTCGGACTTGGGAAACGTGGGTGTGAGCTGGAAGAGGGGCGTGGGCCCTTTGTTTCGCCCGTCCCTCCTCCTCCGGGTCTTAGAAGCCTGCCCGGCACCAAGCCCCCACTTTCCCTTCCCCTCTCCTGCGTCTCACAGAGCTCCCCGAATTGCCCAAGCTCCTCCCCCAAGCGGAGGGCCCACCTCTCGGCAGATTGTAGTGAACAGTAAATAAATGAAGTCAAGTGTATGCTTCGAGATCACTTTTCTGTTTGAAGGGGTGGGGATGGGATGTTCCTCATCTCTATAATGTGAGCCTTACCTCCCTGTCTCCGCACGGGCTGCGCCGGGCTGGGCCGAGCTCCCTGCTCCAGCAGCTATTTTTCAGGGTGCCGGACGACATGCACCTAGGCCCGGCAGTGCACCAGGTCCCGCGGCCTGCCACCCACGGAGAGAGTCTTGAGGACATAAGCTCTTGTTGTAGCATGGGTGGTAGGCGTGGCTGAGGAAGGAATGCCTAAGACATAGATTTAGGGCTTTAACTGACATTTTCTAGTCTTGTAACTAGGCTTTCTGAGCCTTGGGCTCAGGTCATGATCCCTGGTCAGCATCATGCTCCCTGCTCAGCGAGTGGGGAGCCTGCTTCTCCCTCTCCCTCTGCCCCTACCCCTACACGTGCGCTCTCCCTGTCTCAAATAGATAAATAAAATCTTTAAAAAAAAAAAAAAAAAGAAAAAAATCACAGTAACAGATTATTACTACCTACTGATTAAAATAATAGCTATTACGTACATCCTAACATTAAACAAATATGAAAGGAAAGCTCTTGCTCACAGCAGGAGGAATAATGAGGTCAGAAAATCTGTCTCCAATCAGTAATAATTGATCCTGGTGAGAATCATTCATGGATACTAAAATGAACGGGTAAAAGTTTGATGAGAAACTGTCTGTTTATATAGTTTTGAAGTATGTTCCAAGAAGATATTTGTTAATTACAACGAAAAAAAAAATAGTAACCTAGTAGAATTGTAGGGAAAACTGATAGACAACACTTGAAGTGCACTGCAGTGGTTCCTCTTGAATAAAGTCTTTCTCACCATCTAATAATGAGTGTCTTGAAAATTTTTTCCTTTAACATAAAGACAGGTCGACATCATGTGCTTTATGATATATTAAACTGAGAAAACACAACATCAATTCAGCAGCAATACATAATCATGAGGAAACTTCAGATAAATGTAAACAGACAACCACAGTGGTCTTTATTGTTCAAAAATGTCAATGTCATGAAAGACAAAGGAAGGCTGAAAAGCTCTTTCAGGTCAAAGGAGACTAAGAGACATGAAAACTAAATGCAACCCATAATCCTGTGTTGGATTCTTATTTGAAAGCTGTCAGGAAGGACATTAATGGGACAAGTAGCAAGATTTGAATAAGGACTGTAGAGAAAGCAAAATGGCAAAAGGTTAACGGTGAGTCTGGAAGAAGGATAAGCAAGATTTCTTTGCAGTATTTGCAAAATTTTTGTAAGTTTAAAATACTTTCTAACTAAAAATAAAAATACTAAGAGGGCATCTGCCTTCAGCTCAGGTCATGACCCTGGGGTCCTGGGATCATGCCCCCCGCCCGCATCCAGCTCCCTGCTCAGTGGAGAGTCTGCTTGAGATTCTCTCTCCTTCTGCCCTTCCCCACTGCTCCTGCTCTCTCTCTCTCAAGTAAATAAAATCTTAAAAAAAAAAAAAGTAAATTGACTCTCTGGGTCAAAAAGTAGTAAATGTATTACATAGCTATGTCTATGTGTTAAATTTTAATCTTGGAGAACTATCTGCATGCCAGTAAGTCTCCTCAAATCCTTTTTTTTTATTTTTAAGATTTTATTTATTTATTCATAGAGAGAGAGAGAGGCAGAGACACAGGCAGAGAGAGAAGCAGGCTCCATGCAGGGAGCCCAACGTGGGACTCGATCCTGGGTCTCCAGGATTACACCCCGGACTGCAGGCGGCGCCAAACCACTGTGCCACTGGGCTGCCCCCTCAAATCCTTTTTTGAAACAAGGCAGGTTTCATCTAAATCCTGAGTTTCATGTGACATAAAGTGTGTTTTGTTATCTCCTTACTTCTCTCTCCTCTTGGGTTCAGACCTTGAAGTTTCTTAACTTCCTCCATCTCTGACAATCTGCATTGCTCACAGACATTTCTCCCCAGGGCTTCCACTTCTGCCCTAGAAATGCCCATAGGTTGCACATCAATTTACCCCCAGCCCCACTAAGGGAAGAGGGCCCCTGATTACAGGCTTTTTGAAGGAAGTACAGCAACTCATCTCAGTCCAGCATGCTGCCATACACATCTTTCCAAATCCCAGTGCTTGCTCCAGGCCCTGTGGATGTAAGGGAGCCCTGCAGGGAGCCTAGGTGCCTCCTTCTTTGATCTTTTATTTGAACTTAACCCTTAGAAGCTTAGAACTCATAAAACATCTCCCCTGCCAGGGACTTTGCTGTTCACCTGGTCCAATTCCCTCAATTTACATTATGCTGGGAATCCAAGGCCAGAGAGAAAGTGTGACTCATCCAAGGTTATCCAGAACTCCTGGATCTCAGCAGGGCTTGGGCCACCAAACTCTGGCCTCCTCCTGGTTTTGCCCCACCCTTACCTGACCCTGGCATCTGGTCTGGAGCCATTCACTCAATAAACTCTGGCTGACTAATTTTAAGCCTTATCCTACCTCCCAGTGGGGTAGCTCACTCACATTCTATTTAAGGGAATATAATAAGAATCATAATAAACTCACACACTTAACTGAGAACTTACTGTGTGTAGGTACTATGTAAAAGCCCTGAACAGAAACTATCAAATCATTTAAGCCTCACAAAACTTTGATGTCCATATAATTATTTTTGCCATTTACTGAGGAGGAAACTGAGGCCTATAGGGACGACAGCTTGCCAAGGTCCCACATGGATAATGCATCTGGGAAATCTGTATCTTAATTTTTAGGCCAAACTGCCTCTTCATACACTAGCCACACTTAGCAAAATGCAAGCAATATTTACTGAATAGCTATGAAGTGCAAAACACTGGACTAGATGTTATGGAGCTCATGAATGAGCAAGCCCCTCTAGAGAGGAGTATAGAAGATTTGCAGGAGATCATCTGCACTGTTGGGAAGTTGAGGCAGGCTTATTTGAAGAGGCATCTGAGAGAGACTTTGAAGGATGTATAGGATCCCAACAGACAGTGATGGGAAAGAGGTGTCCCAAGAAGAACTGAGGAGGGTTCAGCATGAGTAAAAGCAGCAGGAGCAGGGAGCAACGGGGGTTTCATTAGAGGGCAGGTTATGAACAGGAGCAAGGGAATCTCCGGCTTGAAAGCTAAGTGGAAGCCATACAGTGAAAGACTTTAATGACAAAGGGGCTTGGGGGAGCCATTGAGGTCTTTGAGCAGAAGGGTAGCTCAAGTTGAAGTTATTAAAAGATCTGGCTGGTGCCTGGAGGAAAGCAAAATGGCAAAAGGTTAGAATACTGTGAGCCCAAGCCAGCAGCTTCCCCATGGCCTCCATATTGACGGTAGAGCACAGCCGGGCACCAGAACTGAGTCCCTAGGCTGTTTGCTCAAGCTCACAGCCTATGGAATTCAGTTCTCAGAGCCAGGTGGCCAGTGTTCTCTCAGCCTTGATACTTCCCCTCCTGTGTTCTCTTCTGTGAATTCCTCCCATTCTCATGGTGGGTCAGAGGAGGAACCTGTGATCTCAAGATTCCTCCTATCCCAGAGAGGGTCTGAGCTTACAGCTGAAAAACAGGGCTCATCCCCAGGGAAAGGGGCAAGGGCTTTCTAAATTCCAATAAGATTGATACAGGATATGAGAAGGACTCAGGGCCATGGCAGGGATTCCATGAGTACTGTGGAATCACTTCTTGTCCAGATGTGCTCGTGGTGGGGCCAGAAGTGGAGAGGTACTCCAGGGGGAATTGGGGGCTGGGAGAGAGCCAGAATATGTACACCGAGGAGGGCATCTCTCAGGAAACTGGGAGGCTTCCTGAGCCAAAGGGGACCCCTAAAATATGAATCCCCCAAATTCCCTGAAACACACTTTCACTTCTGGAGAGTTAAACTGAGGGATGGGTGCTCTTCCCCTTCACCAGGCAGAGCTGCAGCCTATCCCTGGAGAGGGAAAGGCAAGCCTGCAAGCTCAGGAGCCACCCTACCCCCACCCTGCTTGAGTTGTGAGCAAGGGCCCACACTTACCCATGAAGCCTCCTCTCTTGCTCCTAAGGCTGGATCTGCAGTGATGCTCTTAGAGAATGCTCCTTAAATAGGCCCCCTCCCTGCCCCAGCCAACTCCCACCCCCGCCCCATCCTGGCTCTTCTGAGAAAGGAGGAAGGTGTGGGAGGGCTGGGCACCTTGCCCAGAGAGCCCTTTCTGACCTCAAGCAAGAGCAGGGACCCCCTCCCTTCTCCCCATCCTTTTGAAGTGTCCCCTTCCTCACCTCAGTCTCTGAGTCCCTCCCACCTGTTGAGACCAGCCAGCTGGGCTTTATCACTGCCCTTAAGGCCTGGGAAATCAGCCCTTTATGCCTAATTCAAGCCCAATTCCTCATTCTGGGGTTGGAAGATGGGGAATTGATGTGCTAGGCGAAGCTTCAGCATAGGCTTCTAGCTTTTCCCTTCAGCGGAGGTGGCCTAGGCTGCAAAACCCACTTGAGGGGATGGGAAAAGAGGGGTCATTATGTCACCTTCCTTCACCCCATGTAGCTTCTAGCAGCACCCGAAGGGCAGGTGGAGTCTGTTCCCATCTTGGGGATGGAGAGACTGAGACCTGAGGGGACAGAAAATCAGGGGCTTGAGGTCCAGCCAGCTGTGGAATGCCTAGCAGGACAAATGTCCCTGAGCCCCTTCCTTACAGTTTATGTGTATCCTCGTGTCGGTGGCAGTCCCTTTCCTCTGCCTGCCTTCTGTCCTCTGACCCCAGAACCAAACCCCTGCTGCACAGAATTGGGACCCTTCCGGATTTGAACTAGGAATCAAAGGGCTCCCCCTAAGAGGTCTTTCCCATCATCCTTCTCCCAAAGCTCTGGAAGTTCTTTCTGATGATATCTAGCGACATCCACTGCCAGCCAAGAAACAGGCCAGAGGGGTGGGGGAAAGGCACACAGGGATGGCTGCAGGGATCTCGGGCCAGAATTAGGGACAGCTCTACTGAGGAAACCTGAAAGTTCCCGTAATGGGGGTGGTAGGGAGAGAAGAGTCATCAGCATTGTGCAATGAAGCGGGAGGAGATGGGGTGGCAGGGAGGGGGTGGAGGGAGGGATGGCCAAGCCTTTAAAAGGCTGGTAGAGGCTGGGGCTGATGGAACTGCCCATCACCCCCCTTCCCAGGGGCCAGCCTAGCCAGAGTTCAAAGTTGCTGTCTCTCCACCTCTCATTAACCCTAGCAGCGCCAGGCTGGCAGCGGCGGTGTTTTTATGGGAGACGCGATGCCAAACGCGCCAAACGCGCTCCCTCCTTCCTTCCTCCCCTTTCCTGCCCTCTTCCCTCCAGCCGTGAATGTTCTGCTCTTTGAGGCCAGGACCCTGGTGGGGGGAGGTGGAAGCCTGCAGCAAGGGAAGAGGGAGCAGTGAACCCCGCTTTCTCCATATTTTGGCACTACCTCAGCCCTTAGGGAATAAGAGAGGATGGGACTTTCTACCTTGGACCATGAGCTCCTGAAGGCAAGGACAGTCGCTGAGTAGCCAGCACCTTATGAGAGGCTCATCCCTGCTGATTGGGGATGGGCTAGCTCACCCTGGAAGAGAACTCTTTCCTTTCTGACCCCCAGCGGGAGTCCTGGGAAGGAATGGCTGTGGGTCTCCTCAGAGGATGGCACCTGGAAGCGGAGGCAGCAGGAACAGAAAGAAGCAGATGAGGCCTTGCTGGGTCCTGGAAGTCAATGGTCTTGTCCTAAATGAGAGGTCCTGCCAACACCGGCATGAAGGTCTTGGGTGTAGGCATGGTCTTTAGACTGTCCTGGATTTGGGCTCAGGTCGACCGCCCCTTCCCCGCCCCAGCATCTGCTCCCCTCTACCCCTACCCAAAAGAGGCTCCTCAGTCCCAAGACCCAGACGGCATAACCCACACTAATCTTGGGGGAGACATCACTGTTAAGGGAAGGCAAAGGGGACAGGTATGGTGGGGAAGTCATCACCTAAAAAGTTGACTGGATGATGGACCTCGAGCCTAGACTGGACTTAAAGGGGGAGAGACACTGGGATTTGGGAAGAGCACCGGATTCTGGGTGTAGGGGCCACCAGATCCAATCAGGGAGCCAGGTCTGTGGAAAGACCGCAGAGACAGGGAGTGAGGAGGAAGCTACAGGACTTGAGGGCGGAGATTTGGGGGCAAGGAAGGCGGACGGGAAGACAATGGTTCTCGGGAAGAAAGGTTCTCGGTCTTTCGCAGCTGATAAGGAACCAGGCGGGGTTACGGTCAGCCGTTGAGACTCCACCCACTGGCGGGACCCACGCCGAATTCCTCCCAACCCGCAACAAACATGGCCGCTGCGGGAGCCTGTCCAAAACCCCGAGACAAACGAGCGCGGGCCCAGAAACCCCGCCCGGTTGTGGGCACTTGCCCTTCTTAAAAATGGCTACCACAGCGCTTCTGAAAGAGAACCGCTCTGGGCCTCGCCTTTGATCTCGTTGGTGGGGCTGGGGGATGAGAGCTGCACCGCGCGGGACAAGTCGCAGGCGGCGCCCGTCGGAGCAGGTGATTTTCCCCTCCGGCCCCCGGCCCAGGGCTAGGAGAGTCGCGGAGAACGCTGCTAACCCAGGGTACCGGTCCTGTGTGTGTCCCCATGGCACTCCCTGGGGCCCCTCGGCCCCCCATCTCTGATTCTCGCCCTGGCCTGTATCAAGGCACATCCCAGCTTCCTCAGGCCTCTCTAGTTCTGTTTCCCCAGGGCTGCAGCCGCATCCCGGCTCCCCCGGGCCCACTGTTCCGGACCCTTATGGGTACCCCGCTAGCTTGTTGTGAGAGCTCCGCTTCAGGGGTGGACCAAGACCGCGGTCCCACTTCCTGTGCACCCCACTATCCCCGTTTGTGCTCCCGCCTGACTTTGGATGCCAGAATCCCTTGTAGCCCTCAGTGTCCTTGGCGCCTCTAAGACTTGACTTGGAGAACAGGGGCAATGATGTCCTCTGGAACCCGTGTTATGGGACTAGAGGGCCCCAGGAGCTGGGCTTCATAGCGGCTGAGAAAGCAGTGAAGACCTACGTGCTAGACCCTCTGAATGCCCACACTGCTTCCCAGGACTCCTCACATGGCCTTCTGCTTTCTCTCCACCTTGAGCACCTCCCCACCCCCAAGGGAACAACGGTGCTCCTTCCCCGAGCCTCACTTAAATTTTTCCAGAGGGTCTGTTTTGGGCATGGGAGAGTCCAAGGTTGTGCCTGGTCCTGGAGAGCTCTCAGGCCACCTGGGGGCAGTGAGGGTGGGGTAGCCAGCGTTGGCTACAGGGAGAAAGTAAGTCCTGCAGAATGAGGCAGAGGGAAAGACTTTCTGAGTGGGGGAGAAGGGTGTAAGCAAGGATCCTGAGGCAGGCAGGTGGGCCAGCTAGGCAAGATAGGAGGATCGGCACATGGGCCTGAACTATATCGTTTACTTCATGAGAGGTGGTGTAGCCTAGTGGTTACCAGTAAGGGAGGGTCCTGAAGCCAGACTGCTTAGATGTAAATGTGCCATTAACTTACTGTGTGACCTTGGGCAAGTTACTTAACCTTTCGGTGTCTCCATTTCTTTTTGGGTAAAATGGGTTAGTATAATAATATTAGTATCTATATTTTAGGGTTATTGTGAGGATTGGGTGAGTTAATAGCTATAAAATACATAGAACTATTATTACCATTATCAGAGGTATTTATTTATTTTTAAAGATTTTATTTATTTCACGAGAGACACACAGTGAGAGGCAGAGACACAGGCAGAGAGAGAAGCAGACTCCATGCAGGGAGCCCGATGTGGGACTCCATCCCTGGATTCTGGGATCATGCCCTGAGCCAAAGGCAGATGCTCAACCTCTGAGCCACCCAGGTGTCCCTATCAGAGGTATTTAAACAGGACTCATGACAGGATGACAATCACATTCCATGGACACCACTAACCAGTAAGCCCTGATTTGAGCCTCAAGGAAGTAATGGAGCTTTGTAGACTACATCCAGAATTTGGAAAGTCTCATGAAAACCATGTTCTTACCCTGGAGAAGGCTGGCTGCTTAGGCTCCAGCTTCCCTAACTCGGGGACTGTGGAGGAGAAATATTAGTAATAAGAAGCCTCTGGGCAGGAAAGCAATGCTGAGGAAGGCTAGAGGGATGGAGAAAGGTAAAAGAAAGAAAGAAGTGCACAGCAAGCTTTAAAGGCTGGGTAAAATTTGGGCAGCCCCAGAATAGAAGGGGGGGGTGTGTTGCCTTAGGAGACAAGCTAAAGCAAAAGCTTAGGGGAGGAAGACTTTCTTTGGGGGAGCAAAGAAGGAGAAACTAAGGAGTTTCCCAATAACTCCCTGGCCCTCAGACCTTGATTAGAAACCAAGAGGCATCAAACACATCCCTGAACACTTCCTCCCTAGAAACTAGATTTTCTTGCAGCAACGTTTGTCCCAGCAGAGGTTTCCAGGCAACTGACAGCAGCCAGGATTTGATATAACCCCGGCTATGGGATCCCTGGATGGCACAGCGGTTTAGTGCCTGTCTTTGGCCCAGGGCGCGATCCTGGAGACCCAGGATCGAGTCCCACGTCTGGCTCCCTGCATGGAGCCTGTTTCTCCCTCTGCCTGTGTCTCTGCCTCTCTCTCTGTGTGTGACTCTCATAAATAAATAAAAATTAAAAAAAAAAAAAAACGGGCTGGGTGTAGGTCTCTGTAGAGGGCTGACCTCTTGGGGGAACTGCATAATAGTATCTGGCATGCCTGGTCTGAGCAGTTTTTTTTTTTTTTTAAAGATTTTACTCATTTTATTTATTCATGAGAGACAGAGACACAGGCAGAGGGAGAAGCAGGCTCCATGCAGGGAGCCTAATGTGGGACTTGAGCCTGTTGTGGGACTTGATCCCGGGTCTCCAGGATCAGGCCCCCGGCTGAAGGCGGCACTAAACTGCTGAGCCACCCAGGCTGCCCTGAGCAGTTCTGCTCCTCTCCAGGGCCCATGCTAGGGTCTGGAGCAAGAGGCAGCCATCTCCCCACACACACACAATAAGCTAGGGCTTCTTAGTCTTGCTGTTCAAAATGACTCCTGTGCTGTCATAGCAACACTAT